GATTCGATTCAATGAACAAATCGGAAAAGCCAAGTCATCTAACGTGAATGACCACCATATCACACATTTCCGCCACACTCTGCTGAAGTTGGAACCTGCCCAACAGGACACCGTCTGATTACAGCCAGCGACTAGTGAATGATGCAGCGTTGCATGGCCTAATTGCTGAAAGACACAGAACACACACTTATTTTCTACACATGCAACAAATTTCAGCAATCAATGAGGTCGAGATGCCACATACCTGCACCCAGCTGAGCTGACTATCGCCAAGAATCTTCTTGCCGTCCCTGCTCCTGAATTCATTTGCACTGTCACGAATTTGCTCCAGCTGGATGCTGACATTGTTTGCCTGCCATTCCTCGGGAGCCAGTCCGCCAACAACACCTACGGTTGCGCCAAAAACAGTATTGGGCGCAGAGTCCTCTTCGCCCTCATCCTGTTTCGTACGGCCCTAGCACAGTGATGAGCAAAAACTTTGGCATGCCACCGTGAATGGATAAACCCAAGGTCTGCTACTCATTTTGAAATTCCAGAAATCAGATCAAGATACATACACGTCATCCATGCCCAAAGTGCGTTTCACCAGTACTATTGTCCTCAATGCGGGCCCACACAACTTTGCCCGGGGAAAGCTCACATTTGTTGTGTTTGCTTTCATTGGCGAGTTGCCACCTGCTTTGCCCACTAGCTATATAGCGTTGCCTACTGGGTGCATTTGCAGACAAGCCTTATGTTCATTCTGAGAAGTCCTACTATCTCCCCTTGTTGGACAACACATGAGACTGAAGAAGTTGCCTACATTTCTAGACTGCTGGACACATCCTGGAAATCGTTGCTTACACAATTTCTCACCATCAACCGTGTCTCGATAATTATCATTGTTGCTAAGTCGCCAAACTGGAATGAGCGGTAGATCCTCTTAGAGATGAACTCTCCTTCTGAGTCGTATGACCGGATAGGCATCCACTCATGGTACGCCTGCACTGCTGCCATCCATCTTTCCACCCAGTCACCCTCTGCGCAACAATCGAAGTTCAGGTGGGATGCAAAGTAACCAATGCTATGTCTGGGCCATTTGTGTCAATGCACAGAACAGAATACGATCTACTTTGAAGTTCATACGTCGAGTGCAGATTTATCTGCGTTGACCCCTTAGACTGCCTTTTTGGGCACATTCAGGTACCCTACATCCACTCTGGCAAACCATTGTGGAATGCATGCTCAGAAACTGCCGCCCTTGGTGTTGCAGCGAGAACGCTAAATCAAGAACAGAGAACCACAGATGGCTCCTAAATTGGATTCACGTGCCATCTGTTGTGAAACAAGCACTCGCAAATTATGCAGCAAAGCAATGCACACTCTGTCCAACACAGCAAGCTCGACAAGTTTTGACGAAACGGCTATGCACACCTCCCTCATCAGGATTATGGTTCGAAGCACCTCCCATCCAAGGGTTGTTGGTGATCTCGTGGTCATCCCAAACAGCGATCAAAGCCGATTTCGCAGACAACAACTGGAGTGCAGGGTCGGCCCGGTACAGGGCATAACGCTTGCGGTAGTCGTCCAGCGAGACAGCTTCGTGGGGCGGGGTCAGACCTGCATGGAATCACATGCAGTTGCTCAAAGGGCAGGAATCCTTGTCAACCCATCAGCCCCAGTGAAATTCATGGAGGGTGCAAGGAGCAGTGCGTTCACGCCCAGCTCCAGCTGTCCATCTTGCGCCGAAATCTTGACATGGAAGTGCGACAACATCTAACAACAGTGGTAAGTGTACCAAATAATACTGAACTCCCTCCTGAAACAGGGAAAAATATATGTCACTTATGGTTTTTTATTCCAATGTATTACATGTTGATCTAAGCAAGGAGCTCCCCCGCAAAACGTAAGGCACAATGGGATCCTTTCCAGCAGGATCCGATGCAGGTTTCCAAACAAAGAGATAGAAGAGAGAGTATTGCTGTTCGCTATATAGCCACCTGGATGCGGAATCCGGTGGGATAAGAAAGGTGAAGGCAGATGCAGGGGCTCACCCTTAGGTTGCTGAGCAAACCGCACAGCTTGTTCGGCATTTGGGGACCTCTCCAAGCCATACTCGTAAATCTGCATCGACGGGCGCAGAATGCCATCAGGGCAACGACGGAGATGAACAAAGCCAAGAAGAGATCTGGAACTGGTTATGGCCATTCACCGGGATGCGCGTTGGTTCCAGCAGTGTTGATCGGTGAAGGCGAACATGCCATCTGGCCCAGGTACCTAACAAGCACGGAAACTTCCAAAATGTGGATTTCCTGCCAAGCAAATGTTACACTACTGTGGCATGGAAACGTTTCCATTCGACACCGAGTACGCCCGCTTTGGGCGACCACCTACAAAGTCTCCAAGATGAACATGGAAGTCCAGATCATACCTGCAACAGCACGTTGCTTGTCAGAATCGAGCAGCATGCTGTGGTCGTCCTTATTATTGTCAACAACACCAGCTTTTTGTGCTTGACTAAGACAGTGGGACTGGCTGGTACACTTATTGCAGGACAGTTTCATCCCAGAATTAATCGTTGTCGCTTCCAAACTTACAGTGTTGCCAGGTTCAGGCACCAGAAGATCTTTGTTCCTCAATTGCGCAGATGCTTATTGCATTGGTAATCTAGAAGATCTCCAATTGCTGATTGAAAACTGCAAGAGCGAAACAGAAGTGTTTCTGTGGTCCTCAGGGGCCCGGACAGCAGTGCATTCAGCCTTGGTTGGAAAAACTTAGCAGTAGAGACTCACCGGCTAGCCAGATCATAGGCGTTGAAATAGCCGAAGCCCCAGTTTGCGCATGCAAACAGTGCGTACTTCAGCTGTTCCATTGCTTCACCTGAAACAAAAGCACATCCGCTGTTACCACTGATTCGTGGAAGCACTTGTCTACTGAGCACGGCCAAATCGAAACCAACAGCAAAGTCCTCATTGTGCCACAGCTTCAAGTGGGCTTGGTCTCCAGCATCAGCATGTCCCATTCGATGAGGTTATGTATGGGGAGAGATGGCCTGAAAGCATCATGCAAGCAGCACTCCAACCAAACAAAAATCAGAAGTCAGCCATACCAGTGACGGTTCTGCCATCAGTTGCAGACCACACAGTCGTCAGGTACTTCTGAAGCAGTGCAAGCGCGTGTAAATTTGCCCCGTGAACATCAGGTGCGCAGGAATTTTAGGCACTGCGCCAGTGAGTGACATCATTCTCCCTCTTACCTGCTGGCTTTGGGAGCCTGAACGTCCCGACTTTGGAAGACACGCCATTGACGTTGAAGCCGTAGTAGTACTGGACGCTTGAAATCAGGTTCCTCACGTCCACCTGACGGACAAGGGCAAGCGAGTCAGGCGTACATATAGCCAGCGGTGCATGTCGGAAATGGGCCTATAGGCGGTAAGGGTCATGATGAAGAAGCCACTGGGACACATATCCCGCAAAACAGTGAAAAAATAGCAGGTCCTGGGGCACTAAAGTCCAGATTGCAATCTGGATCATCAGTTGGTGATTGGTCCCTTATTTAGTCGTTGACTTGATCGGAGTTGAATGGTTTGGTGGTCGAGGCGCATGCGGAATGCAGCAAGGTGCCAGGTGGGGCGGTCGACCATCAACCTGGTATAGGACATTCAAGCAATGAACTGTAAAGCAGCAACCAGCGAGTAGGGCCACAAAGACCGAAATAATAAACGCCAGAAAAGGTGCAGAGTATGGAATGTTGCTTCAAGAAGGAACAGAATGAGATGTGAGTAGATGACAATAGAGAGTGGAAGCAGAGTCCAAGGACAGCCACCAAGCAAATCCCAAGTCTACGGAGGGCAGTTGCAAAAGCACAGGATCAGTATAATGATGACTGGATGTAGTCCAGGACATGCTATGTCGCCTCTCCTGTTCTATCAGAACAAGCACACTGAGTTTCATGCAGAGTTTGTTGGCGGCAAAGTGAGAGGCGTGCCGGCGTGTTGGCAATTGGTTTGGCAACGCTGCCGCGCGAGGTCGGGCAACACACAGAAAGGGAAGCACTTTCGATAGGACAGCATCGACGCAAAGTTTGTGACAACCTGGGCCTCGGCGATGAGATGCCTGCATCTCTGCAGCGATTTCAATATGAGATGCAAATTTATTGCCTCCATGTTTTTGGAATGCATTCCCAATGCTGAGGCCATGTGGCACCTCATTGCGTGCTACTTTTGGATCGCACCGAAAAGTGCACAAAGAAGAAGGGAGGGAGACAAAAATACTGCACAAAACTCAGAAATCGAGAGCGCTCAAGCAGCCGCGGTCACATTCCCTCCATACGGTGAGACTCCAGGGTCGTCATTCCCGCAATGTTTATGGCAACCTTCATGGAACAGAACAAATCTAAGGCGATGCATCTCTCCTGCATGTTTCCAGGCGAGAAGCGGCGAACTGGAATGAACAACCTTTAACAACGAAGAAATGAGTGCACGGCCTGCGACACACTGTTTTCACACAGCCTCCAGCAATCCGTTCTCGTGAACATGGCAGGAAGACCTTTCCGCAATGCAAACGTCATCTTTTTGATTTTCTTTCCCTCGTGACACCCATACATATTACGTAACATGCGGCGACATCATACACAAACCCCCCTCTTTACCCGCGACAAGCTTCAAAGAGCCTGCCGCCAGCTTCGAGGATTTCTGGGATGGGCAAGAGACCTCGCTCCCAGGATGCCGGCATCCCAACGGGCTCCCAGCTGCACACTGTCACAACGCATCCTCGGGAACACTCTAGAGCGGACAAATCTGTCCACGGACAGATCTCTCCACGGACAGATCCGTGTGACGACAGGAACGATGCAACACGACATGAATGCCACGCACGATGCGCTTGTCAATCCCCACCTTGACCGTCCAGTCGAGCGTCCCGTTGGTCTCGAACATGCCCTCTGCCACGGGGCCGCTGAGGTCCGCCGCCTCGGACACGGACCACGCCACGCCGACCGTGAAGTTGTCGGGCGCACGGTCTTCCCGCACGCGGGGCGTCACGCGCGTCCAGATGATGATCCCATCGGGCAGAGGGTCGCCGCTGGCCACGCCGTGGTCGAATGTCGCCGTCAGGCCCCAGGCGCAGGCCGCCAGGGCGGCTGCCAGGGCCGCCAGGAGCAGGGTGCGCGCCATTGTGACTGCGAACTCGACGGAGGTGGCCCTCCTAGAAGACATGATGGACGTCAGGAGCGCGTGAGGGCATAAAGGCGGTATATACCGGCATGTACTGCGACAGTACCTGCGGCGTGGGCAATAGAATGTTGATGATGGGACCCCATCGCAGGCGGGGGGGCGCGTACGGGGGGTACCGTACTGCACCGTACTGCACCCTACTGCACCGTACGGCGCAGAGGCGCACGGGGGTGCCTGGGCACTGTTGAAATCACCTCAAATCAAGGCCATTTATGCAACGGCCATTGATTAAAAAACCAAGAAAAAAGGGTTGAAAAGAGGGCAAAAAGGGGTGATTTCATAACACAGGGGAAGAAGTTTTAAGTGAAGAAACTATAGGATAAGAGCTGCACTTATTAGGATTAGGAAGCCATGGAACGAGGGTGGCAGCGCCATGGTTAAGGCATGGCAGCGCCATGGTTGGGGCGTGCCAGCGCCATGGTTGGGGCGTGCCAGCGCCATGGTTGGGGCGTGCCGGCGCCATGGCACAAGTATGACTAAACGACGTGCGAAGTACTGGGAAGGAAACGGAACCTCTTTACAAGGTGTTACCAAGTACAAGGATTAACTACGGTCGCCAAAATGCCACGTTTGTCCGCCTTGGCAGCGTGGAGAGCAGCTTGTCTGACTGAGACTACCTCTGCGTCAGACCCAAGGACTGATTCCTATCATTCTAGAGCCTGATCTGCGACTACAGCCTGCACAGCAGTGCGCGGTGCCCATCGAAATCACACCGCCTGTTTGCGGTCAGACGCGGTGTCCCACGATGGGGTGTACGGACGATCGGAGGCATCGGAGTTGATGTCGCATCTTCGGAGGCGTACTGAGCGACGGCAAAGGCGGGAATACGGCTGCGAGAGGACGATGATACGATGTCGGAGGCTGCCGAGCTGCAGACAGACGATCGATTGACAAGAAGTTACTGATACGTTCAGTCAGCGATGGGATAGCGTCATGGTAACGTAGGAACGATCCTCGGGCAGGCAGGACTTGAAGTGACTAACTGTTGATGAGCTGTCAAGGGTCGGAGCGTGACGGCGCCATGTTTGGGGCATGGCCAGGCCGTGTTTGGGGCGTGCCGCCGCCATGCTCGGGTTTTGATCGAGGGATGATCTGATCCATGACAGACACACTATGATGTGTATTGGATGGGAAAGAGTCTTTTCTTAATCGGAGTTGTACTGGGAACGTTGGGAACAGTACCAAAGACAATAACGATGTACTGATGCACTGGTTTTAATACAAATACGAGGCGCTCCATGGTGAGCGAGAGCCTCGCTGAGTCCGTTGATTCCTGTCTGATCCGTGTGCCTCTGGTCATTCTGGTTGCCGTGTCGGTGCCAGCCTGCCTCCGCCCCTCTCGCGAAAGCGCTGCCCCAGTCGGTCGGGGCTTCGTGTCGACTTCCCATCGCCGGCAGCGTCGCGTTGGGCGGAGGAGCACCCGGTGGAGTCTGTCTACCACCCCAGAGGGTCTGACAGGGCGCGGAGGCGAGCTCCGTTAACGATCGATTCTACTCGGTCGGACATTTGGTTGGTTGGTAAGACTGCGCTGGCTTTGAAGGAGTGACGTGGTCGGCTATGGCGCGTTGCTTTCAAGAGCACCTAATTAGCCGCTCTGTCTTCCGTGAAGATCCCTCGTTTCGGACACCCTGAACTCCAAAACCACTCACCCACTGACCCGCGTTGGCCATCTCAGCGGAAAAAGAATATTCTCGGGGCGCCCGCCTCGGGCCCGAACAGCCCACCTGAAGGAAGAACAAGAAAGAACGAAAAAGAAGCAGTATAAAAAAAGAGTGGGAACAAGAAGAAAAAAGCAACGGCCCCACTGCCATTTTCCACGTCGGGAGTTCGTCATTTCCACAACCCGCCGTGCAAGCCATTTTCGTGACCGCCCTGGGCACCTGGAGGCCCGCGCAGCTAGGCGCCGCGCCGACTCCCGACGCGGGCGACGTGGCGCCCAGGCCGCGCCGCTCGGCCCCCCAGCCCCGGACCGCGGCCGGACCTCTGGCGCCCCGCAGCTTGCGACGCTCCGGGCGGCGCACCAACTCGTGGCCACGCCACGCCGGCCAACGGCCGTGGGTTGGTCCCCCCGCCATCCACACGGGGGGCCATTCGCTGGCCGGTAAACCAAGCCGCCTCTTGCGGCCGCTTGGCGGACTCTGATTCTCAAGGGAGGATCTTCTTTGGGGAGCGTTGGGGGGCCCTTTGAGGTGGCGGACGCGGGTGGTACAGGGCGGATCGTGGTGGGCGTGAAGGGCGGCAGCCATGGGCGGCAGCCACGAGGACAGGTTCTGCCTGGACTTCGTGTCCCCCCACGTGGACCGCTCCATCGTGCTGTACGACCTGGCCATCGGCCTGCCCACGGCCGCCTTCCTGGCCTTCCTGGGCTGGGGCTTCCGCCACTCCGCGAAGAAGCTGCGTCGCTCGGGCTCCCACATCATGACCACCTACTACTGCTTCTTGTGGGCCGTCAGCCTGCTCAACCTCATCCGCTGCTGCACCCAGATCGGCCAGACGGAGAAGCACGGCCCGCACGTGATGTGGAACCTGCTGTGGCTGATGACGCGATTCGGGATGGTGCTGCTGGAGCTGTCCGTGGTGGTGTTCCTGCTGCAGGGCTACGTGACATCGGGGCTGGAGGCCCTCATACGCACGCTGGCCATCTCAGGCGGCATAGCCATGATCGAGACGGTCATGATGACCATCTACATCTTCGGCATCCACGTGCCGCTGTTCATGAAGAAGGACGACGGAGGCGGGGACGAAGAGGAGGACATGTCCTGGGCCAAGTGGAGCTTCTGGCTCCTGCACCATTTGGCGTTCATGCTGGTGTACCTGCTCATCCTGGTGGTGCCCTACACGCAGTGGAGGGACCTGTTGCCCGCCAAGCCGTCCTTCTACCGCTACGTGGCCGCCCTCTTCCTGCTGAGCCTGACGGCCGTCCTGGGAAGCATCATGATCGGGTCACACGTGTCGTCGGGGTACTGCGTGTACGGGGTGGCAAGCTTCCTGTACTACGCGGCCTACCCGCCGCTGCTGTACTGGACGTTCCTGGCAGAGTTCTTTGCGGATGACGAGCTGGACAGGGAGTTGATGTACTACTCAGAGATGAAGGAGGCCGGCTACTTTGAGGACAATGGGATCAACTTCTGAAAGGGGGCCTGTACTGTGAGGGCCACGAGCGGATGCACTGTATGAGGACCGGATAAGTTTTGAGAGTAGCAGAGTGCAGGCTGTTGGTGGGGAGGCCTGGCTTGGGGACAGGGCGATCGCGTGCATAACATGGGCTGTGAGAAATCACAAGGTTCCAAGCGTGAGCAGCCGAATCAGTGCGCTGGCTGTGGGGCAGGAGGTTGATCACAGGAGGGAGGTCGACGGGTGGGCAGGACAGGGCGACAGGTGGGCTGGTCCTGCACGCAATGGAATTCCCATAGAGTGTGTGGAGGGAAGGTTGAGGTGCTGTGTTCATGGAACAGCCAGTGCCCATCAGGAACAGCGTTTCCACAGTGTTGCAGGCAGGTAGCGATGCCATTTGCCACATTCAGCGACACAAATTTGAGAGAATCTCATTGTCTGAACGTTCCCAGCACGGAATTTGATGCTATGTGTGTGATGGTGGGTTGGGAAGGGTAGCCATGCCAACACATGCTCAAGCGGCTCTGCTTAACAGTTGCTCGGTGGTGGCAGCAGGCATGATTGCGGTTGGTGGACGAAGTCAAGCCAATCAAGAGAGCCGATGAACATGATCATGGGAATGTCTGATATGTTGCCGGGATGCAGGAATCAACATGTTGTAGAGCTTAGGAGGTGTACAGACTGGAAACCATCATTAGGGGCGCTCCTGTCTGGGGGATGGGGCCAGCGCTTGTTTGCAGTACTACCCCAGAGCAGGTGCCTTCTGGGCGATTTCTCATTCTGTTAGAAGACCGAAGGATATGTATCAGAGGGACGGAAGCGTAAGTTTGTTACAGTACAGGCGAGTTGTTTCTGTGGACTCGATGCTAATACCACTGTGTCTTGTAGATGCTGCCTTTGCCTTTCAATTTTGTTTGCATGTTTCCGCGTTCAACAGCTTCCTTGTCGACTTCGCGAGGGCCCTGCAGCGCACTCTCCATCAATATTTGACGCTGGTGCACAGCCATTGTCCAGCCAGTAGTCGGTGTTGTGCCGAACCCAAGTCCATCGAGTCTGAAGTGCCACACCCTCTTACACCAGGAGAAGAAGACATTCTACCAGTCAACATCCCAAACAGAAAAATGACAGAACTCTGGTTCACGATGCCAGAAAGCATCAATAGTTGTTTGTCCACCAAACTCAACTGCCACCGAGTGCACCCACCAGATAGTGCCTCAAATGGATATTATCGTCAACAATTCGCTTGACTGTGGGATCCTTGACCACTTGGCTGATTTGCCAATCCTGGCGTCTTGAACACATGCTGACATGTTGTTCGAGGGTAGCTTTTACAACAGCAATCAGAGTTTGGGGGACTGCCATTGGGGCGTGCCACGCGCTACCTCGCAGAAGCCAACCGCCACGAGAGCCGTCGATGGCTCGTCGCCCCACCCCACCCCACTCCCCCCGCCCTCTGCCCACCACATTGCCCCCACCAGCACACAGAATATTCAGCAGGAAGGCCGCGCACATCCTCGCTTCGCTCATTGAAAAACGGTGTAAATTGGCGAGAAAAATGGCGAGAAATGGCGAAAATGGCGACGGAAGTCGCCATGAAGGCCCCACCACCTCCAAGTGCCGTGCCTTCCGTCCTCCGCGCCACCTTCCGCGCCAACCCCCTCCCACGCCCCGGCGCCGTGCAGAGGCGCCGGCGCGCAGCGGGAGTATCAGCGCTCCCGCCCGACACTTTCAGGTAAGCCTCGGCCCTGCGGTGGGGCAGCATGCGGCAGGCCTGTCTGGAAGAATTGAGTTGCGCTCGTTGGCGCCTCGCCTTGCGCGTGCGGGGTGGGCGGGGAGGTGGGGCGCAGCACGGCCTTGCTGGGCCTTTGGGCCTGCGCGCATCGGGCGGAAGAGCTTCGCGCTTGTTTTAGACCTGTGATTCCCGGGCTCGCTGCACTGTGGCGCCGTGCTGGCAATTGGGCGAAGCCGTGGCATGGCTCGCATGCCTTGATGATGCAGCTCCGTACCCGGCCATCTGGGTGTGGTCTCCTGGTTGCGGGGGCGTTGTGGATCCGCGGAGGGTGCTGTTGGGCAGAGAGCAGCCCGGCGCGTGGGCGCAGTGCGAAAGTGGCGGGCGATGGGCCCAAGATGCTATTTGTGGAACGGGGGAGTTGGCTGGCGGGGGCGGAACAGCGGCATCGGCTTTGAGCGTGTGCGACGCCGTTGCTCGGGGTGTGGCGGCCTTGTTTCGATCTTGTTTTCTGTGTTTCCGTGCGCCGTGGATGAAGCTGGGACGGTGCTGAGTCAGACGCCCGCCATGGTTGACGGCGAAGGCGGTTGCACTGGCGTGTTCATGCTCGTTGTTTTTGCTGCAGCCTGGGCTCACATGGCGCGTCTCGAGCGGTGCGCACGAAATGGACCGCTGCAACCGCCATTCTGCTCAGCTTCACTGCGATTCTCGAATTCCAAAATTGTGTGGTTGGCAGCTCAGGAGATGAGATGGCGGTTGGATGTCAGCCATCGAAGCTGCAGTGCGTGCAGGTCGAACGCCGTTCGTGCCGCGAGGAAACGGTCGGCTGCTGAAATGCCTTCTATGTGTCCGATGGACTGACATCACTGTGCTGTGCATTCGTCCCAGCAGGTTCCTTCACAGTTTTGAACAGCAAAAATGTACGGGAATCCGACCGTTGTGGCAATGCGCCGAATACAGGTGACTGCGGATTATGCTCTCTGTTTCATCGCTCTTGCTGCCCACCAGTCACGGAATCTATTATCTGGGATGTGTTTCTCAAACAACTGTGTTCTCTGTGTTTTTCCTGCAGGGGGAGCTCCGTGACTGGTTGAAAAGTGCTCCAGAGGGATGTGCATTGGAATCGTATGATCCCCTCACAAACTGGGTGATTATCATGCAAGGCCCTGAGGGTGGAATGGGCATGGCGAGGCTGTACGAGGGGGAAGTGTTCAGGTACAAAGGATGGGCTGTCTACTGTGGCTGCTGCCACAGTGCAAGCATCTGCTGTGCAGACCAAGCTACATTCTGGCACCAGCTGACTCAGTGTACGGAATAATATTTAGGCAGCCCTGCCTGGGGGCAGCATCTCTCTTTGGTTTGACTAGATGAGTAGCTGAGCCTGCAGTTCAATCTGACTGCCATGGAATTGATATCACAACTCCAGGGACAGTAGAGCACTGGTGATGTGTGGCAGAGAAGTGCGCACCTCCCTTCTGCTGAGATTGTTGTGAAAGACAGCACATCATGCCTAGCATGGTAAAGTGCCTACGTGCAGAATATCGCTGTTTGCTGGTCCACTGTCTTCCATATCACACAATGAAACAGTTGTAGATACAGGATTGTGTGTCAGCGGGAGATGAGCAGTCCGATCATCGTGGCCTTGACGCATACAGTAGTCATGCCTCTGTCATTGATCGCAAATGTGCACCAGGTGCAGCAAGCAAAGGACAGGTGGTCCAGGTGCAACCTTGCATAGCCTATACCAGTATCCAATTCCTGGCTTGCCCGTGAGGCTCAATTGTGTTGGTGTCCATTCTATGCAGTGAATCAAACATCTGCCTGTTCTGTGTCCAGGTTGCAGATCCGGTTTCCAGACCGGTACCCCCTTGAGGCACCTGAGGTATGGCCCTTTAGCAAGACAACTACTGACAGTCTAGTAATCCTGTTGCCGGCTGGGGGCTGAAGCAGGGAAAGTGGGGGGCATTTCAATGTTCTTTAAAATTCCTAAGCAGCATTTCGACACTCCTCGACCCTTGGACCCCTTTGCGAAACGCACCAATACCCTTCATTGACTGGCGATGAATCGCCTTGGCCCCCTCTTACACTTGTTCTATGTGGCTGAACATCCACCTTCGGTACTCGCATCCCAGCTAATGCAGGGGTGTCGGTGGCAGACTCCATATTGCGAATGCCTGCTGAGATCAGTTTCCAGTTCCAAAGTTGAGAGGGTGTGCTGTCGTTCGTGCAGAGAACAGGAATTGTGCAAATTCTTATGTGCATTTCACAAGGGGTCGAGAAGCTCCGCCCTCGTTCGCTCTTGCATCAAAAGATGCAAGTGACCTGATCTAGGAGTCTCCAGCGTGCCAGCAGCGCCCAGCATGCTGTGCTGCTTGCCTGGACGTAGGGTGCTGAACTTTTGGGGTGCTGTGTGGTTCAGGTTGTTTTCCTTCCAGAGAGCCCCATTCATCCCCATATATACACTAATGGGCACATATGCCTGGACATCCTGTACGATGGGGTGAATGGAGGGTGGTCGCCTGCTCTGACGGTCAGCAAGGTTTGCCTGTCTCTGAGGTCAATGCTGGCGTCGAACACTGACAAGGTAGGAACGATTCATGCCAATTCCCAGTGGCCCAGTCCTGGCTATGTACGCCATCTGCTGAAGGTTGTCTACTCTCCATAATTTTGCACTTATGGGGTGCTTTTGAACCATCTATCGGCCTGGTGTGTTGCGTGGGTACCTTTTAGTAAATGCAGCCGATGGTCATGCCACACCACTCGTGCGGCGCGTTTTCGCCATGATGGCTGAGAGCCGGGATTCAAGTACGTTGCAATGAACCATTGAGCGTATATATTCCTTTGCAGCTTGCGTTGTACAATTGGACGTTGATACTGCCGCAAAGCCAACTGCCACCTGCCTTCCCAGATGTTGGAATTCAATCGCTTCCTGAATACGGTTGCACTTCGTTGAGGGCGGTTGAGCGCCGTCTGGCCCGCCGTAATGCACCATAAGGCTGACGAGCTGGCTCTTCGTTGCAGACACGGCCACCTGGAGATCAGGCATACTGCCGCCGCGTTGGAGAGAGGTCTCCAAAGTTGACGCGGTGGGCGTTCGATGACGACAGTGTGTAGACGCGTCCCAGGCAAGATTCTTATAGCAAGGACACAATGCTTGCAACCAAGCAGCTCTGTACTCGGACGCTCCAAGCAGTAGCGTGTACGTACGGGCGTGGCTCCAGACCTGGCAACGATAGGCGGCGATTCTTCCACCTCCAACAGGTGGCTTTCCGGCTCGTTGATGACTTTTCTTTTTGCATTCTGCACTCTAATTTTTGCCGTCGTTCGCTGTAGTGTGTAGATACCTTGCTGTGCAACGCTTCGAGGGACATCGAAGTGCAGTGATGCAGATTTTGATTTTGCACAAGCGCCAGATGTCGAATGCTGCGTGGTGTCCTGAAAGAGCCAATCACGGCTCTCTGAGCGCTCGACAGATGGTGCCAGAGACAAAGCGGCTGACCCAAGGCGCACGCCTGGCCCCAATTGGGATGTCCATTAAATAATTTGATCAGAAACGAAGGCTGCGCAGCTGTGCGCTGGTGCAGCCACCCGCTACACGTCCAGGTCACGGCGCCTGTCTCGTTTGCGCGGTCGCTTCTTTCGGCGCATTCGGAGCCCTATTCGCCACAAGGCGAACACGCCGGCCGCCGTCAGCAGCAGCCAGCCCGATTTGGTGACTGGGTTGTATGCCAGGAACTCCCAGACCCTGACAGTGGCCGCCCACCACCTGCTGGCATACATTTCCTTTTGGGACTCCACCACTCTGGGGTACCCTTCCAAGAAGACGAACAGAACCCAGCAGGCGCCCTCCATGGGCTGCACCTTGCAAATGAACCTGAACGCGACGATCCCCGCCAGTGTGATTAGGACCATCCCCAGGTACAACCGGTCGTTGTAGTCCTTTTCAAACCGACCGAATTCCCTGTCCCACGCGCTGCGCAGCCTGGCCTTCTGCTTTTCCAGCGCAGGGCCCACACACGCCCCGCCAAAAGTGACCCTCTCGCAATCTTCGAATTCGACAGTGAACTTCTTTTTGGACGGGAGGTTCATGGCCTGCAGCCGCTCAAGAGTCTGCTCACACTCCCGCTCTGCCGACTCACAAACCTCCAGGGATTTGAGGGAGTTGGCCGTCATCTTGGTGTCATACGCCCTCTCTATCTCTCTGGCCAGCCGCTCCCGCAGCACGTTTCCACCCTCCACCAGCTCCTCGGATGCGCCAAACCTGTGGGCCTCATAGTGGCCCATCGCTGCGAGAAGGAACTCTGCATGGAGGTCCTCAAGGGCGCCCTCGTCCATCGGCAGTCGGGCAGACGTCCAGTTGGCGACGTACATCTGGATGCACTTGTGCAGCAGCTCCGTGTTGAAGCTGTCCACGATGGACGTCACAGAAGGTATTTCACGCTCGTTGAGGGCCCCCACGACCTTCTCTATCAACTCTGCCAGCCGTTTTCCGGTCATCACCCTGCCTTTCATCAGCTTTGGGGTGGCGAGGTCCCTCACCAGGCCGGCCAGCCGCGCCTTCTGTTTCACATACCTTGCATCCAGCATGCTGTCCCCCATGGAGCACAGCCCGGTGCGATTCAAGTGGGGCTGGGTGAGTCCGAACGCCGTGCTGTTGCGTGCCACAAGCGACAGGGACTTGCGGATGCGGTTGATCTGGTCGATGTCCTTGTCGTTGAAGGGGTTGTCCACCTGGGCCAAGGAGTCGTCCACCATCTCCTGGACTGTCTTCCCCCCCAAGAAGTCCCTCTGTATGAGCCATACCATGTTGCCCGGCTCGATCAGCAGGTGGCTGTCTCCATCACCAGCGGTGCTGTAAAGCCCATTGGCCAGCTCGATGGCAAAGGACAGCTTCTCGATGTCAGATTCCCTGACTGCTTCTGGCAGGTTGTATATCAAGACAGAGCTCATCAACGCACTCAGGGCGAAAATTCGATCGTCGTAGGAGTCTGATTTCCCAGCACTCTCGAATCCCTCTGTGTCCATGTACACCACAGACAGCGGTGTTCCCTCCCTCGTTGGCACCACGGCTGGGGCGCTCCAAACCCATATGCCCTTTGTCTGAGTGCTGCGCGTGTGGCCAACGCCAAAGCCCGCATCGCAGGAGACGTTGAGCAGCTGGTTAAGCAAGAAGGACTTCCCCGATCTGTAGGGGCCGATCACCACTACGGGAGCCACCGGGCCGCCTATGCTACGGATGACCTCCAGGCCTTCGTGGTCGACCTGGGAGAGTTGAGAAGGCTCAGCTGATGCCGATCAGCTGGCAATGGGCTTGCTGCGACCAACGCAAGCCTGGTACATAGTCGACGCAATGAACAAACTTGTGTGCTTGGGTATGGCCTGGTTGCCAGGCGAACAGGTTACGGTTACGGAGGAATCACGAACACAGACATAAAGAAGGCCATGTCATACAGCGCGAACCTGTCCAGAGCCAATGGTGGTGTGACGCTCTTCCGTTCTGTGAAAGACGACGCGGAACTCCCTGGGATATTGTAAGAACACACAACGCAATGCACCATGCACTGCAGTGCTCCAGAGGTATTGCGTGGAGAATGGGGTCCAGTAGGGCTTGGCTGGTTTGAGCACGTTTTGTGAACATGGTGCCCCCATTTCTGCCAACCGCTCCACATGCAGCACGGGCGTAGGTGACATCCATCGCCCTTGCTGCCATTCATCCCAGTTCTTTGCAGCGCTGAAACGACACAAAAGCGGTGCCACAAACAGGGACCCAGTTGGCGCCGTTGATTCCCCCCGACCCACAATCTGATTAACGCGTCAGAGGGCGAGAAGCCGACGCCCACAGCCAGCCCGCCACCTCGTGAGCCCCCCACCCTCCCCTTGCCCGAAGCGACCCCTGCGCCACACTCCAGATTGGTCGGATTCCGGTTCTCCACGCGGCTGTCTCGTGAATCAATGCAACCCTCCGACCCCACCCCTACCCCACCCTGCCCCGTGTGACGTCCACACCATTGATGGCCGCTCACGGCCCAGGCGAGCGCATAGCTATCTGGACACAGGGGCGCACACCCCGCCCTCACCCGCAGCTTGGACCTCGATTCCACCGGCAGCACGACGGGGCACGACCTCCCCTCCTGGCCGTCCCCCAGACAGGCGCCCAATGCGGCCGCCAGCAGCAGGAGCGGCAGCCGCAGCCCTCCGGCCATCGAGGCGCGGCGCGGCGCGGCCTTCGGACATCACAAATGGGGGTGCTCCATCGAGTGCATTCATCGAAGGCGAGTACGGGGGCGGAATTGATGTCGCGGAAACTCTGGATCTGAAATCAACAGTCTCTCGAAGTTCGGAAGCACCTCAATTCCGCTGATTACATTCGTTTGGTGCCCAGAGCGTTTTTTTTTTTTCCGTTGCAATTACATTGCCAAAATCATGGCAAAGCAAGCCCTGTCACCAAGCTGGCGATGTCGCAGAGCGTCGCCCATGCGCTTCAAACCCCGGGAGAGGCAGGGCAGCGTGCCCCAGACCGATGCCAATCAATGCAGCGTCGTGCTGCATGATGCGCCGGCGGCTTCAAGGAGCATTGCCGTTTTCGCCCGGCAAAGGTTGGGCGTTGGCCGTGGGATGAGAGATGAGCATGTGAAAATTTCAAGCTCTGAATAGTGTACACCATTCCCAGCATCATTTCCTTCAACAAATTGCTGTTCGGAGCTGCTCTAAACATGTGTGCGCAGCATCCACTCGGCCGCGCACTCTGGCTACCTCTACCCAAGTAGAAGAAAATTCGATCTACATCCCGGCGTTGATCTTGTGTTCTTGTCCCCCTCCCCACGTCCCTTCCTGCACCTCTCAAGCCGCGCCTCTCTTCCTTCCCCGTTTTCGACGTGGTTCGCGTTCCTTTTGTGCACAAATGGCAATCCGCCCAAGTTAGAAGCAACACAAGCATGTCCAGCAATGTGACATACACTGTTTGATGCGGTGAGACTTCCCTTCAATCCATTCTTCAGGATTTTTGAGATTCCGTGAGGGCAAATGAGCAAAGCCTCTTGCCTAATCATGCTCACTGTGAAGCCGAGAAAGATACACAAGCGATTGTGTGGAGGATGGAATTCTTATGGTGAGTTAAACATGGTGTTAAATATGGTGAAAAGGGGAACGATGGGGAGGGACATGAGTTGGACACACTTGCAGTGAACACTACATGAGTGGAACAATCATTCTGTAACATAATCTGGCTGCGGCTTGCTTGCAGTCCCTGGGAGTGGCCGTGTGCGAGCGCGGGGGGAAGGCGTAAGCAACGAAACACTCACCATCAATGTGGATGTGGAACAGTAGCAATTTGAAACTTTTGCAACAGCCCTTCTGGCAGACAGCAAACTGGTGGAGCACATAGCCTACCTAAGCAAAGTCACTATTTCGCCACTATGCAACAATTCGCCGCCATGCTACAGTGTACCTGTGGTGTTGGTTGTTCTCTCTCTTCCTCGCTATCCTCTCGACATCGTCTCCTCTTGTTAGTCGCTTTACCAACATTCTCTTTTCCGGGGTGCGTCTCCAATTCAGCGTTCGATAGTCGAAAGTCAACATCAATGAGCTCCAGATCTTTCGGCAGGTGACTGCCATCCTCGTGCTTGTTGCCTGTGAAGCATCGGAAAAGTCACCGACTAAAAATGGGGATCGCAGCTTGATGTCAACAGAACTAAAACATGGGATCGCCAGCAGTTGGCTTCTGTGGCAGGGTCACTGCGCTGTTCAGCTTATTCGCGCTGTGCTTTTCTGAAGGCACTACCAGTGCTGTTGCACAATTGGAGGCCCGCTGTGACAGCAGTACTGATAACAACATATATCGCTGCACTAGTACCATCCTGTTGGTGTGCATATTACCAGTTCTGGGTTGGTCATCTGTTTTCTGGTGGTGGGCAACAGAACGTGTAACGTTGAGTTTGCGGCATACAATATGAAGTCCACAATTTCCACCACAGGTGGGAGTGAAGGCCACAGCACTGCCACAGAACTTCAGATTCGCCACAACACTGGCACATTATGAGCTTGGTGGACCACCTGGCAAATGAAATTGCAGAACATATCTCTGTCAATGTCTTACAAGTGAAAGGCTAGTGTTGACAAGGAGTTGAACAATGCAACCAAACGCATCGACAGCACTGCCAGTGGGTGTGGGGGGATCAATGAAAATATTAGTCACTGGAAAATGTGGGGTAAAATGTGCACAAACCCAAGCACAATATCTTGATCTGCGATTCCAAAGTGCTGCTGACACCAGTTCTGTAGTTGGTACCAGTCATGGCTGGCAGGGACAGCTCGTGTTGTTGCATTGCATTTATGCAAGTTGCCAGGAAGGTTCAAAATGTGGTACGCCAGAATCGTCAGCAAAAAATTCTCAGATACGGTCTCTTGTATTGCCTTGGTGCCTGCCTTGGTACCTGCATGTCTACAGCAGGGTTACACCGCCACAGCCTGCATTCTGACGGCGCACTACACAACCATCTGCACAATTTTTCTGTCGGCAATTGACACTGGTCCTTCAGAAAACAGTTGGCCAGGACACTGTGCCTTGCCCATCGTCAAGGCACATAGTGCCATGCCTCTCACCTTCTCTGTGCACATCAACAGTCTTGTAGAGCGCTCTGGGCAGTGATACACTTGCTGGATACCGCTGCTCCCGGAGTTCCTTGCCATGCAACGCCATCTCCACGATCTTTGATGCCAAGCTCAAGCCGATGTCGCACAGAATGCGGATGTTCTCGCTCTTGTCTGGCTCCTGCGCACATGATCATATGGCCTTCCTTCCAATATCTAACTCTTCTGGGTATCATTTGGCTGCACATTGTAATACAGTGCCTTCCCAGCGTTGTGTTCCCGTATGGGAGCATGCTGTCACATCTTGTCATTTCAGGTCGCTTTCGATGTCGTGCATTGCGATGTCACCACATTTTGCCACATGAACAGCAAACATTTCACTCCATCTGGAAAGAAGCATCCACTGCATTCCATCATGAAGAGCAAGGGAGATCTTACAGATGACAGGGGGTTAAACCCATGTTTGGAACAAATGCTGCACAAGGATGAACATGCATTATATTTATACGTCGATGCATCGCCATGAGCAAATGCAGATAATGACACTAGGCTTGTGTTGTTCCGCCAGCCCTTCATTAAAACTTGCATCGTGGAATCAGACAAAAGCATGTTGAGACAGGCAAATGAAAATCCGGCAGACAAAGCGAAAAATTACGACAGCTGATAGACAAGAAGGGAGAGCAGTGGGAACAAAGATTAGGAAAACAGTGATAAGGAGGAAAGAAGAAGGGATAAGCCAACGAATGAAAACACTTGGTGCCTGCCCGAAGCGGATTTAGGTGGCATACTGTTGCGTCGCTGGCACGCTTGATGGTTCGCAACAGCTTGCAGATCGCTGGGTATGTGCCACTCGTTCTTTTAGTGGTGCGGTCCACAAGGAGGGGCAGCAGGCCAAACGCCAGCATCTCCTGAAACGGGTCGTACACTTCACAGCCCATTTCATCGACAGCATCTCCCTTGCAGTGCCACACAGAATGAAATCGTGTACACTTAACAGAAAACATGGAAGCGAAAACTGATCATGGCATGGGTCGCTCCTGGAAACAAATAATCCAGCCCCATTCTTATTGCAATGTTATCCTTGCATTGCATTTGTCTAAATGCGACAATATATGGATACAGATAGAAACACATGTGGATTGTCTGAATGCAATACCCAAGAACACCCAAGCGCAAGCTGTACGATGTCAGGCTGACATACTGGAAACCTAAAACCCTGGTAGTCAGGACCATCGCTCTGCTACAATTCCACATCATGCAAACAGACATTAAGCAGGGCCCCGGAAATTATTGTCAGCTGCTTTAAGGGGTAACAAATGCATTACACAATTACCGATTGGCCAAGTGAATGGTCAATCAGGGTAAAGGTACACATCAACATATTTGCTGAGCGCTGCTACTTGTTGAAACTTGTCATGCTATCTTTGATCCACAGAATGGACCCATAACATCACAGAAACACCACCACAAGGCAATCCAGGTAAAAGAAAAACCAAAGCCAGATATGAACAGCACACGTACGAGGCCGATGCGGATAGGCTGCATTCTTGTCAAATCTCCCACAAAAATATTGCAAAGATAGGGCTATCTGCGCAATTGACATTCTAGTCCAATCCACTCAGAGTGGGCAAGCAGACTAGCAAGCGTTACTGGAGGGACAGACTGCAGTTCACTGCAGTTTGCAGAGACCTGAGGGAATTCGCAGATATCCATGCATGCTGGTACCCTCTGGAATGCCATACTATCTGTCAGTAACTGCTTGTAGGCTCCCCACTCACCCCAGGAAAATCTGGATGGTGTGCAAGCAAATAGATGAGGTATGGGATGGTGAATTCTGGGTGCTCATGAATTGTGCTGGAGCCCCCTGATGCCGCCACGATGGCACAGCCTTCAAGGGTCTCTGTTGTGGAGCGTCTTCGAGACACAAACTCTCGCAGGGTCCTGGGGACAATTTGCATGACAAAGACGTTTCAACCGGCACACAAACCCCATTCCATTGCATCCATGCAGAATAGGCAGCACGCTGCCAATGGTAACATGAACCTGTGAATTTCTGAGGAAGGCAAAAGCTTATTGTGTGGCCCCCACAAACATGTGCATGCTATCGTTGCTTTGACATCCCTGTGCCATCATGCCATATGACAATATCCATGTTGTTGGTTCACTTTCGGTAGAACGAATCCCATGATTGTTGTTCACATTTTGGAACAGGAAGGCCATGAAGGGCATGGAACACACAAGTGGTGATGGACACATCCCTGACATGTTCATCCATGAGGACGGCTGTGTACCAACAAGGTGCAGGTCAGTGATTGGGCTGCGTTTCGCTGCTGACATCTAACAAGAACTAAAAGGTGCAAGGGCAGAGGTTGGCCATTTCTTAACAATTGGTTAGCAGTGCTGCCATGTCCCTCAATCTGGACTGTTGGGACAGCGGTTGAGATCAGCCATCATGCAGAATAGCACTTCTTTCTTGCATTCATTGGATATTGTCATCATTCTTGCATTCATTCCAAACCATTACATCACAATATAGGAGTCCATGTGCTATCCTGGCGTTAAAAGATTGGTGCCTCCCGGAAAAATGCCTAGGTGAGCGTGAGAGGGCTCCAGTTCACCTGTTTGCAGCAATTCGGTTGCTTTCTGCCGGGTCCAGTGCAGCCAGGGGCAGGCAGGCAGCAAATTTTGCACAGCGTTGTCCAGACAGCTTTTGGGCCTGTGAAACAATCGAGCAAGAAATCAGCAACGACATCCCGACAGATTGCACCAAGCCCCAAAGACTACTTACAGCATCCAACCAGCCAGCTGTGCTCCTGTGCTGTTCAGCAACCACAGTGCACTATGTCCCCATGTGACCTTCATGGCCCCATCTGCTGAGCTGCATGCGTGTTGGAACTGAGTTTCCCACGTGTGCAGGCTCACTTCGTACATTCCAGGGGGAGCAGTTGTCAGGCTGAGGTCAAGTTTGCAACAACATCTACAGACTGAAAATGTTTTCTGGACTGTTGTCCGCGAGGCTGAGAGCTCACCAAGCACTGCAACATGGTGGAACTCCTACCAAAGGGTATCCCAAGTTCCTGTGCTCTGAAGAAAGCTGTGACCGGATTCATACCTGCAGCACTTGGAGATGTCTGCGTATCTTCATGCAAAATGCTTGCCGAACATCCATCAAGGGATCTTGGATCATTAAGGACAGCGCCTTCATGCCAAAAACCAACAGCCAGTTGCTTAGGTTCTTGGGAAACTTCATTCTTGCGTTGGTGTTGCAAATTTTGCTCCTAGTTGCAATTGCCACATGCATCTTGATGCACAGTTATTAATCGTTCGATGCATTTGTCCTTCTGTGGTAGTTCGCCCTTGCCAACATGTTTGTGTAACAACACTGTATTAGGAACGAAAGAACTGAAACAAATACAAGCGAATATAATCAGTGATCGTTTGCTGGTTCAGGATATTGCATATGTGCACATGTGTGTGTTTAATGCTGGCGTTTTGGGGATTTTTGTTGCAATCCTGGAGATCACTGACTTATCATTCCCGATTCCAAAGGCAGACTTCAGTGCCTGGTCTTACCACATATGTGGACGGCAGAATGTTGGAGTTGAAACGACGGGCTAAGCGAAGGAGGGTGCTGGCCGCTGCCAGTCGCAGGTGCCCTGCATCCCCTTCGTGTTGAACGCCCAGGTGGGTCATGTCTTCGTTTGGATGCAGGAGTCTGTTGCATAGTGCGAAAGACACACGAAATGCAGCGCACAAATTACAGACAAGGGGCCGTGGCAATTAGGGTTGACATTCCTTACATCCCTGTGCGGAGCAAAGAAACATATTGCGAGTTGCATATCTGATGCAGCAGTGCAGCCAGTAACGACAGTAGTGCAGGGGCATGTCCTGCCCTTCACAAGTTCAGCCGACAATCCAAGGAAAAACCTGACAAGCCAAGAGATTGCAGGAAAGAGGAGCATCTGGGACAGCACCCTCCTGTGTAAAAAGGAGCTCGACTGAAACAGCACCATTCACCGTCTCTAGAATGTTCTGTGCAGTTGACGTCTTAAGCCAAAAGTGTCCAGGAGAGTCTCCAAAGGCACCACACAATACGCTGAAGATTAATTAAACTGAAAATATTTGAAAACTTCATCAACATGAAATGCATTTTTAAAAGAATGTCAGAGGTGCACGTTCCATTGCAAGTACCCAATGTGACCTACCCTTCGCAGAATTTTATAGTGCGCTTTGCAGCATCCAGCACCGCCGCTGATGCAGTTTTGCTGCCTCTATCTGGCACGCACCCTGCGCCCAGTGCCTTGAGGGCCTGTCCCTTGAGGACGATGCAGCTGCTATATTGTCCCTGGCTGTCTGACTCTGGTGTTGAAAGTGGTGAGGCATAAGAGTCGCACAGCATATAGTCTTGCAGCACAAACTCAGCAATGTCGTGCACACGCTCCTTGAAGATATCTGTTGGCACATATATCACTGTGACAGTTGACAAAACTGTGGCAGCACACCCATTGAGGACAATGTGATTAAGCAGCGGCAGTTAACAAAGAAAAACAGCGTTGCCCAGTGATATGTAAGTTGTGGGCATTTCTGCCTTTGCTACTGCTCACTCGGCTTCCTGGCTTTGGTGCATAACCGCTGCTCAGGCTTCCAGGGAACCTATCACATCGCCCTGAGCTACCTTGCAAATCAACAGGGCCCAAGACTAAGATGCGTACTTTCAACTGTTCACACGCATCGCATATCAGTGTTGTGGACTGGATGGGAGAATAGAAAATAACATGGTCATTGAAACGGAAATAGACAAAAGAAGCAATGGGCAGAATGCCCTAACAATGCCATCTCGTTTCTGTTCTCCATGCATCTGTCACATCTGTCTTGTCACACCCTGAGACATCTGTGGCATATTCTCAAAGATATGGGCCTCACAATAGCTCTCTCTTGGGGGAACAAAATAAAACTTTCTGGCAACAACAAAGAGCTCGCAAAGAGCGTACAATGATCAAATGCAACATGCTGTGCACCCTGAGTGCTCATCATGCCCGTCGTTTCCAATGCAGGTATAGTCTATTCCATTGTAAATGTACCACATACAAATATATCAATAAACATAATTCAAACACAAAGCATCAGTTCCAACTTCAGTGCCGCTATTACGCCACTGTCCATTGTTTCTGTTGAAATAAATCTGGTCCTTCGTGGCCATTTGTGGCCAAAGTTACGAAACACAGGTGATTCACCTGGAGCCACTCTTCCCAGTGCTCCCAGTGCCTGCAGCACAGATGGCAAGGATGTGCTGCCCTCGGCCTCCGGGGCCTCCAGTGCTTCCACCAGATTCGTGTAAACAGCCCTCAGCACCTACCACAAGCATCGAACCCCATGCTCACAAACCGAGCACTGCCAAAATATCTACTTCAAAGGCTGAAGTTCACCACGAGGTGCAATTGACAATAACCAACATGCCGATGGGCAGAGATTGGTTGTGGTTGATGATTGTTGCCAATGCCAAGTCATGCTGCAATGTGTGACAGAAGCAGGACTGCAAGATGCCACCACAAGCCACTATGCTGCGCCCATCATGGGCATCCAAGAAGCCTAGAAGCCCAGTCTGCAATAAGTAAGCTGACCTGGCAGCACAGACAGTCCATCCAGCAGCCAGGATGGGTTCTGCTGCACACCAAGCCTTGCTGGGGACAGAAAAAAACTGAAGAAACATTCTTGAACAAGCACTGGGAACCTATTCATGTCCGTTATTGCCTTGCAAGTGCAGGGGCACTGCTTCTCTTGTCCTGACAAATGCAGTCAAACAAATTGATCATATCACTGCATTCAGTCCCATGGTTTGCAGTTTGTCAGCAGCACATGATAAATCCAAGCCAGATCGCCTTGCAGGGAATGATGGCCAACATCTGTTTGTTTGCTCTGGTCTGAAAGCGGCTCAGCATACCAAGCACTCATGCAATGTGCAGACAGCGGTGGAGCCCACCTCTGTCCTCTCGCTGCTTTCTGCCACTGCCGACAGCGCCATGAGTGCTGCCTTGGCCGCCTTTGGTGGCAGTTTTGAGCACATTCGCTGCAGTGCAGGGACCAAAGAGTGAAGCAGCTCTCTTGAAGCGCTGCACCAATTTCACCCACCGTTTCACTGTCAACCCAACGCCCGCTTTCAAAAGTAACTCAACCTGCACAAGGTGCACTAAATGCTGGTTGGAGGGACTGGCAACTGTGGTCGTCAGTGCTGAAACGGTCGATACATTGCATTCGCAAATTCTGTCTCCCTGATATCCTTGCAGGGCAAACGATAAGACCAAGCAACAGAAGGGACAACTCTTCGGACTGACTCGCATGCCCACCATGCCTGTCGTTTATTGTATCCATGACCGGTGTGTACTGTCATCTTGCAGGATCCAGGAAAGTATGTTGGCAGAAGCAAATTTACATCACAGTGGCAATCAAAACATGTGGATGGTAACAATGCCAACATCACAAACAGGGGCATGGGCGGTGCTGGGTTGCCTTGCAATGACGCAAGTTTCAAAGATTCAATTCTGTTTAGAGGGAAGAGCATGTTGCACAGCACCACTCACCTGCCAAGGCAATGAACCATCTTGGTGCTCAAGTGAGACAGCAGCACTACCATATGCGCTGCTGTGCTCTCGCTTCCCTCCTTTACGGCTTTGGCGATTTGAATCAGCGAACCAACAAACAGAGAGGGTGCTTCCTGTAGCAGCAAGCCAACACACGATGGGGTTACTGCGTGCAGGGGTCTATGGTGACACTCCCAAAGTGTCTCCAGGAGTCACCATTAATTGAAACATGCCATGCCAACGTGTTTCTAATATCATTTCTGGTGGATCAGGCTTGCTTGGTTTGTATGAACACAGGCCAAACTATCTAAAAACTTCCTCCCACACATACAGACTGGCAAACGCGAAGGGGCTCTATACATCATTCAGTTTGATGTATTGATGAGTCAGTAATGTGCCACATGACGTGACTCTGTGCTGCTCCTTGTTGAATGCTGAGAAATCCTAATAAGCGTAAGTTTAATTCTTCACCACATAGAATCAACACAGCTCCTTTGTGTAGCAATACAGTTGCAACCCCACTGCTCCTGAGGCCCCAGAAGAAATGCACGTGCATTGGTTGTCACAACGTGATGAGGTGTACAGCGGACGGCAAAACCCACCGGCAATCTACTAACCTTGCTTGCTTTGGCCAGAAACTCTCGCGTTGCTTCTGCATCCCCACACTCCCCAGTTACTATTGCATCACCTTGCTCAGGGGGCATGGGACTCCCAATACTTGTCAGCATGTGCAAGAACGACCCCAAGGCCGACTTGGAACCCACACGTGACACCAATTCCTTGCGTATTTCCGAACGCTCCTGCCAGGACAACAGAAGGACAATGCATTACAAGGAGTTGCACAGGTGGTGACCCACAGTATAGTGCAGAGCAGATCAACAGTACACTGATTCAATGCTGAAGCATTGCAGCGGTACAGTGTAGCCTGGACGCAACCAACTGCAAAACGAAAAATACAAGGTGGACAGGCTGCTCTGGTGTAATACAGGTGGCATAGGACCTGCGCAGGATTTGAAGGCTGAAGCCACCCTCCTTGTGTGCATGCCTTCCTGGTGCACTGTGATTGTGCCTACAGCAAGACGTTTCATCTTCATTCACATGCAAGGATGCACGTTTGCAACACCATGCGTTTTCAGAAGGGTGTATCCTAGGGCCCCAATTGCCTATTCATTCACATTGCACCATTCCACACACTTTCATTCTGTAGTGTGGTGTGAATCGGTATCTGCCAAAATAGGGCGACAGTCAGCTATCCATCAGCAAACAACTGATAGTCCCCGCATTTCTTGTCCAAGCTCTTCCACACAATTTCGTTAATCGGCATTAGTACTGGCAGATGCCCCTATGCACTCCCTGTTTTCGTGTAATTTTCATGTCTGGCTTTTTGGGCTGCTTCTAGCTTGTCATGGTCTGGCAGCTGTGACATAGGAGCAGGAAGTGTAACTCCATGCTTTGGAAATGGATCCATTTTGGATTTTGGTTTTGAGGCAGCAGTAGCGGATGCTGCATTGTTGGCATTTGTGAGAGGATTTATGCCTGAAATCGGCCTGCACATGCAATGGCAGTGCTTGAAAATATTGTGACAGTGACAGTGTAAACTTGGTGATCTTTATATGCAACAACACATTAGTGTGGTGAGATGGAGCACTTCACATCAGCAGCAACAACTGATGGTGTGGCTTGTGTAGTTTCATTTCACACTGTTGTTGCAGTTTTGATTATTGAAATCTGAACTTCTGGATGGCATTTGCCTGCACAAGGCAGAACAGGGCCTTTGCACCTTGCACACATAACAAGTGTTATGCACCCAATATATTGGTGAACCCCTTATCTTGCGTGTTACTATGTTGTAAAGGATCGCCCACTTGTTGCCTATCTGGTTTGCCTATTTGTTTGGCTGGAAAACTGGCAGGAGCAATGTCTGGCTGATACCTGTACCTTGTGGACTGGTGCAGCTCCGAAGTAACTATCAAGCAGGGAGAAGACATGCAAGTCCTTGACTTGCATGAGGCTGGTCAGGCATTCCATCGCACCACTGCGGTCAAGGCAGCAGCTGGCGATGCTTCGATGGACACCCTTCAGATCCACTTTGACGTCTTCGTCACTGCGAGCCAGACATTGCCTGTCCGGTCGGCGTGCCCGCAGAAGGTTGTTTATTGCCACCTGGAGACAGAAACCATGCTGTTGATGTGTGTGCTGTGGTGTATGGCATTCTGTTGCTGTGCCCCATGATGCAGCCCCTGAGAACAGTTCTACCACTGACAAACCAATGCAAGGAATGGAGAAGCAAGGTCTTATCTAGGGCAGCAAAAATCGGCTCCACAGCAAGCCAAACTGTAGAACCTCAGCATTTCCAGGAGGGCAAGGCATGTTCCTTTCTGTTGCTGCAAATTATTCAGCACAAAGTGGCAGTACGTGCAGATATTGGGCATCGCATAGGCCCAAGATCACTGGGCATGATGCAAAATGTGCGATGGTTCACCTGGAGTTTGCTTCTCACACTCAGAATGCGCAGCAAGCCAGCCTTTTCTCCCTCGTCAAGATTTTGGTACAGCATGACCTGGCAACATCATAACAAAATATGAAACAGAACCCACTGAGCACCTCTGTTCCAGTTCCGATTTCCACAAAAACCAAATGCTATGAAATGAACAGAGGTGAAAAAGCGTCTCATGGATGAGCAGGTCACATATTCACACAACACCAAGTTTTGGTTATTCAAGCTGAGCATCATACACATCGAACTGCAGTGCTCTTGCAGTGACATGTTCAAATGCTGTGCCTTCAGCTCTTGCGCCTGACTACCAAACAAAATGGTCCTCACTATCGAAAGCTTATGGCATCTCATTAGCGGCACGATTTTTCAGCTGATGCCACCATATTTTAGGCAGGTCGTAAAATCTCTAGTTGTGAGCGTATCTTAATCACACCAAAAAAACTACCCAAAATTCTACAGTTGTCTGCAAATAGCCCACAGCTTCAATATGAGGTTGACAATTGTGCCCTTGGACAAGGTGGGAAACCGTAGCTATCAACCTTCATGGTAGTGATTGGGCACAACGCCGCCTAAAATATTTGCTTTCCTATGTTTGCCCATGTGCCCACTGTCCAGCTCATGCACTGTGCCCTGTGCAACTGTGCCCAGCTGCAACAACACGTTGGTAAAGGCGGATCTATTGTTAGGCTCACTATGTAAAGGATTCATGGACCAATCATTGACCTAATGAGCAGCAGGCATACCCAGAATTTCGCTCCATCGGTTGGTGCCATGCTGGTACTCAGCAGGCCATCTGCCCAGACATGAGTGAGCAGGCAATGTTTCAGCTCTGGATCTGTGCTCCCAGCCGACAGCAAATGGCCAAGATACTTCATCACTTGGGAGCTGACAGCAGACGTAGATGGGCATTCGCCTGCTAGCAACACACCGGTACACCCTTTGGACTCCATTGCAGTTAAACATGTGAGCACTTTTCCTTTCTGAGCAATTTCTGAAAGTATTTCCCAAGAATGGAATATTTGATGAGAATCGTCACCAAACTTTATTTGCCACAGAGCTTGAGGGTATTGTATTCTGCACTTTCAAAGCTGAACCATGAGCTCGCAGTCAATACAGGGCAGGGCTCACTCAGGAAGCTCAAGAAAAGGGACCCATTCACATATCCTATTCCACCCCATACACAACCTTGCCAAGTGGCCAAAACACCACCCCGGTATGCGGCTGTCCAAAGTAATACAATGACAATTCAATAACAAGCGACTGCATTCCAGTGAGGACAATGAGTAAAACAATTCGACTCACCATTGCCATTGAAGATACTTCTCACCAAGTCTGTTATTCCCTGTGCAGCAGCCCTTCGCACAGAGAATTTTTTGTCTCTCAGGCGCAAGCAAAGGTTTTGCAACACCAGGTTTGGCACAGAGGCAAGGTTGGATGCCGCTGATACGGTTAACGCATGCACAGCTCGACCTCGGACTTTTTCATCAATATCCAGCAGCCGCTCTGAAGCACCATTGAGGACCTACAGCCCACAACATTCTCTTTGTCAACGTGCCCATTGAGGATGTTCAATCCATCTTGATGCAAATTCAACGTATTTCAGCTAAATGGAAATATCGAAGTGAGGCACTGCACATTTGTTGAACAAGGGATCGATCGCCAGCAGCAAAGCACATAAAAGCTCTGCAATGCCCTGGTACAGTTCTAAATGCCTTGGGGCAAGGCGAATGGGATGCACTTTGTATTCTGAAAATGTCAACATTGACACTTGTCAAACAATGTACATTCCACATGCAGTGGTCAAACACAATGAGCGACCCTGCCATTTCGGAACTGGAGATGCCAAGCAGGCATTTCTAAGGAGTGACCTTGCAGCTCAGCATCAACATCCTGGAAACATCCTTCACTCACCTGGTCATGGAGCATCTCCAAGCAGGGACTGTGAAGAAAATCAGGAACGAAATCAAGCATTTTCAATCGTACTTCCATCTGATGAGGAAATCAGCAAGACAGCTATTAGCAGCCACAGTACACAGCTCAAACTCAGATGCCACTTCCAGTGCACGGAATCACTGAATTGAGTCCAGCATACATTGCAAGATGCGGTGAATGGGCAGGCCAGCAAGCTCTTTGCATGGCGTCTCGCCAAGTTTTGTGCAGTTGTGTGCAGCTAGATGGGCAACACTAACTCCAAGCAGGGAATTAGATTCTACTGTTGGGACCTATGCAAAGATCTACTGGGCGGTTCAGAGAAACCACATTTCCTGGAATTAATGCACCATCGGTACTGATGAGTGCAGCAGCAATCTCAAAAGCGAATACCCTTCAGCGCTTTGAGAAGTGCATTCCTAGTTTCTTCAGACTATTGGACCTGGTCTGCGGGCTCCTGGACAAACAGCACTGAGCTCATTCTGTAGCTTGTCTAGTGCCTGACATAGCATGCGCTGCTCCTGAGCCTTGAAGTACCCAGTGCATGTTTGTTGCACACACAATTGCCAGCAGTGAATGCAAGAATCACCAATGCATCTGCCATATCATCAACGCACAACATGGCTGGTGACTTGTGAACAACTATGGACCTGTGCAGTCGAAGAGGCATACCAGAATATATGGTATTTTACAATCTATATTTTCCATAACATAGGCAATATATTATAGAAAAAGTGTTCCATACTGATGCACTGACAGTTTGTGAGTGCTTGATAATGGTGGTTGGTCGAGCTCCGAGTTAACCTGTTGGCGTTGATTGCGGATGTGTGGCTGAGTGCAAGGGTCATGAAAATAAAACGATCATTGTGCTTAGTTTGCAGCACCCACTACCATGTTGGTGGCAAACAAATGCCAAGATCTTTTGCAGTTTGGCAGGTGAAGAAGATACCAAGGGGAGGGGGAAATAGGGGGCAAAAGCCACTGGTGGAATGGCCCTTTCCAGACCAGGGTTGCCAAGAACTCTGTTTGTCACCAGATACATGCTCTTCTCTGACCTGATAGATTAAGCGTCCTGATTGCACTCAATTCATTGACTGGATTATCTGGAAAATAATTGAGTTAATTCACTAGTCTAATAGTTCAGTTCTACAATATTTCCCTTTCTATAGCAGAGAATCTTCCAGTCACTCACTTTTGCGTCCACAAACCTCTCGAAGAACGATACAAAGCTTGTCTTGCTGGTTTCACAGTTATGAATGGCTAGCATGCCCTCAGGGTGCAGGAGAAGCTTTTTCGAAACCGGCTCTAACGGCCAGGATATTCTTGGGGCATCTGGGAGAAAGGAAAGCGCTCTGGTTTCAATCGGTACATCTGCAGTGAAGGAGCAGAGGGACAGGGTGTAAGGCGTCAGCGAGTTAATGCAAGGAAGAATTGGGAACCCCTGTAGTTTGGGATCTCAATGGCAGACGGCTGTTCTCCAGGGCACTGCTGTCTATTGCTATAGACAAAACCTGGTTCTTGCTGTTTGACTGGCACAGTACAGCATGTCCCCGTGCATGATATGCCCCAGGGGCATGACACAGATGCAATGCAGGTGCAATGCATAAACAAACTGCAGTGTAAGCAATCAATCTGGCCAAATGTTAAGGAATGCTGAGTGAATGCTGCAACTATTACGCTTGAACTTGATTCACAATCCCGTGAAAGTCCGACCTCAATTTCCAATCATTCCTCCGCGAAATGCCATTCAAAATGCTGATGAGGAGCTCCAAGCAGGATGTTGCCCTGCCCTGAACAGAAACTTCTGGTGACACATACCATTCAACACAATAAATAAGATGGTATGGGGGCGGCATCTAGCCTACTAAATGGGATACAACATTTTGGAACTGAAAGAAAGCCTGACTATGGAGTACACTGTGGCCTTGAAGCCACAGCAAACACTCACTTCCATGATGACTTTGTGGCGATCAGCATGGAGCCTGGCCTCCTGCTTTGAATTTTGAGAGGGCTGAGGATGCACAAGAAGCTGCTCCAACGCCTGCCATGTGTGGTCTGCGGATTTCCTCAGAAGTGCAAGTACCAACCTGCCAGAAAACTCGCTCCCATTACAGATCTGCCATTTCTGCAGGGTTTTGTTGCAACAGCAATCGTTTTTAAGTCTCCAGCAACAACAGCAACAACAAAACTCCAGCTGGATGCTGAATGCTAGTATTGTATTGATTTGATAACGCCGATGTGGCCATCATGAATATTGGGAGGTGAATAACGTCTGTTCGGCACCCTCGTGTGCCAGCACCGCAGTCTGAACATGTCAGCGCAGTCCGAATCGTTTCATTGCTTGATAATGTACAACTGTGCAGTCGCAAACAACAAGGTGCTCATTTCTTCCAGGTCCATTCTCAATCAGTAAGCTCAACAACAAGCAATCAATGTGTAAACCAATTATCACTGGATGAAGAATCAATGTCAGATTCAATTATAATTGAATTTAAACAGCTTATTCAACAAGAATCTGTGGTCTGTATATTCAAATTTTGAAGCCCCCATGGTTGGGCAAATCTGTGCAATCTGTTCTGAGTGTGTCTTTCATGGAGAGGCAGCAGGGCTACAGGCCCACAGCTGTGGCACACTTTCAGGTGCATCTGCAGTCAAGTTCCATCCTCTGCTAGTTCCATGTAGTAATTGCTCTGAGAACTGAATAAAGCAACGAACTGATGGCTAACATAGGCATTATATTGAGCATGAATACTGCATATGTAGCACTGCTGGAATTTTGATACCATCAGCACCTTGCTGGCATTTGAGAATAAAACAGCAGCAGTTGGGAAAAAGGGTGCAGGAATGGGCTCCATTACATGCCCAAGGGAGCATGCCATCGCTTGGTAACGGGAAACATAGATGCCATCTGACTGGCGATAGGTCAACATCTGTATGTTTTGCTCCTCGGCGAGACTTTCAGCATGTGAAGAAGTATTGTCATACCCATGGCGGCAGGAAAAAGCCATTCCATCGTTAAGGTGCAGCAGGGAGTCCAACATCAAGCCAACAAAAACTGGCAGCAAGTCACCGCCCTCGTCCAACATTGCCAGGAGCATCTGCAACACACGCAATGAAAGAAATTAACAAAATGACCAGGCAACAGAAGCCAGCGTAGAAACTGTTAAATGTGGCTGAGGTCCAAATACAGCGAAGCTGAGATGAGGCTCTGCTTGCATGGCAAGCTTGCAGGGAGCAAAATGCAGGTCAACTCGCACTGAATGATTAGGTGGACAGCAGTGGGCATATCAAAAGTTCTGGATTCGAGGTAGCAGACGGATTTTGGAGATACCCCAGCCTGAGGGGGAAACACAACACATTCTGGTGTTGATCCACAATGGAATCTGATCAACAACAACAGCAGAACAATGAGCACTTCATGCAGCCAACATCACTGGAGTGCTGTTTTGGGCAATTGCAGAGACCATGCTGCCACTTGGTGTGTGTGGTGTTCCTCACCTCCAGAATCCAGCCTTCCAAGTCTTCGTAGTTATTGTCACTGCGAGAAGACCCAGAATTTGTAAATATTCAGCTCAATATCCAAATGTGCCCTATCACAGTGCAGCCAAATGTGTGGAATCCTGCTTTCAGCACCAATCCTGAAATACACCACATGCGGGTTTCCTTCAGCTATGACCACTCTCCACAGCTTTCCCAGCGGTGAATGTGGCATACACACAGGGCGCATATGGAGTGTACATGTACGGCATATGGTGTACATGCAAGGTGGATGGGGTGACAGCGAATGATGGGAAAATGACTTCGCATCCAAGCCGCCACCCTCCATATTTGGTGTAAAGTGATTCGTAAAAGTCAACCTTCATTCTCTGTGCCTTGCTGCAGACAAGGGTGGCAATGTCTCAAGCGCAGCCAGGTGCTGCTGGTTGTCACAAGTGCAATCAACACA